TTTATAAAGACTTTAAGGCAGGTAATTTGGGATTATCAAACTAGTTGTGGAAGAAGAAGTTTGGGGCAATTGTCCCTGGGCTGAAAGTATCTATCAGTTCTTTTTAGTACAAGAGTCACATCATGAAAGACATGGAGGAACCGGGGATAGTTTTGATGTCTTGCAGCATGTATATTCCATTGTTAGCTCAGGCTACGTCTGTTAGCTCAGGCTACGTCTGTTAGCTCAGGCTACGTCTGTTAGCTCAGGCTACGTCTGTTAGCACAACGCTTTCTGTGCATTCTCACTCGGACAGCTGCCTAATTAGCAGTCTCCCTTACAGGTCAAAACCAAATGTAATTATTTTAAGGATTAACAAATCCCTGGTCAATTACGCTGAAGCTCCAGACTTGGATTCTTACTTTTAGAGTTAGAGTAGTGAAAGAGAATCAGTTCTTTTATCTCATCCTGACAAAACAACAAAGAAAATTGAACAGCGAAAAAGAAGCATGAGAAGAACAAGAAGTACGGGAACAAACTGAGCAGAAGTGGTCTGAAAAATCCAAAGCTGTCCCAGTGGCAATGATGGCATTAGAGGTTTTAACAGAGGCTGATATAGCAGCAAGTTCCAGGAGTATGGAAAAATATCCAGGTTTCAGGAATACAAACCTGAAACCAAACACACGCACACACACACACACACACACACACACCACACACACACCCACACACCCCCCCACACACACACACACACACACACACACACACACACACACACACACGCACAATGAATATGCTGCGATGACAACTCATTACTAATGTGTTGCTTTGTTTGGCATCAACCTCTTTTTTAAATTATTTTTAGTCAAATATAGACTTAAGCTATTTTTTATCTGTGGAGCCTATTTAGATTAACAAACCAGAACATGATGCTGCATTCAAAGTTTACAGCCTGCTAAAAATGAAACTGATGCTTGAGCAAAACCCATGCAGGAAACATAGTTTACGTCAGGCTGGGGAAGGTAAAAGAAATATGGAAGTACCACCAGCAGCTAATCGATTCACTGCAATAAACACAACAACTGTTCAAAATCCGTGAGCATCATTAAAGGAATCAAATTTGCCACAAGTTTCACCTCTTCTGTACTTTAACTTCTCTGAGGTTTCTCACTCTCAGTGAAAACAATTGATTTGGAGCAGATGCAATAATTTATTCCAAGACAGTAATACGTTAAGTCTGCACAGACGACACAACCTTAGCAAACACTCCAGCAGGCTGTGGAAGTTTCTTATTTCCAACAAATATTGTATTTCCATAAGTTAATTACTCAGCAGAGGGCTTAATCTGCCGAATCAGGGCAAAGTGGATTAGAAGATGAGAGCGCTTAATCAAAGTGTTGTCTCTGTGTAATTACACATTTCATTTCCCTCACACAATACACACACACACACACACACACACACACACACACACACACGCACACACACACACACACACACACGCACACACACACACAATCTGAATCTAGGAATCTCAGACATGTTACAACACATACACAACTTCCATCTCCTTGGTCATGTGTCATCCATGCATTAAAGTGAGAATGTTTTCTTTTTCCTGCTGACAATACAGGCAGGACTGAACTGGGATGGAAGATGCATTATTCAGTGCATGTCAGCAGTGTGAATTCACACCCAGCCAGGGTTTTCTGTCAATTATGTTTTACATTTCTACAACATTTTTCCACACAGTTTCCTTTGTGATCCTGCTGCTTCTGAAATTACATCAAACAGGCGTGTTTAGATCTTTGCCTTCACTCTACGTAGTGCTGAGTCTGCTGCTAAAGAGGTCACGCACTGAGCCTTCTGATATGCTCTCTAAGCAGGGTGGAAAAGCGCTACCAGAGTGTGAAATGTGTGTGAGATCAGTTTGACTGGAGGAGTGTTTTCCTCGTCTCTGTCCTACAGTATCAATGTTTCCTTTGTGCTGAAGTCAGTCCGCTGCTGGTGTCACGTCACAAACTGCTCACATGGACCAGATGCTGCTCGATCTCCGCCAGGACGTCACCAAATTAGACCCACGGTAACTTAATGTTACGGAAACCTGAGCGATGCGTTCGGGTTGAGCAGTTTGGTTAAAGCAGGAGTTCCCAAACTTTTCCATGCCATGGCCCCACAAAAAGCCTTGACCTCTGGGCAGGGGCCCCTGTGCAAACCCACAGACAACTCTAGAAACTAAATAAACATCAACTTTTAGAACAGTTTTTATTCACTACTCAATAATTATTAGTCATTTAGCGTAAGTGCTGCCTCATACCTTTTGATTTTAGATGCCCATGAGTTCATCCTTCTTATCAGATAATAACTTATCACTTTGTTACCAGACAATACAACTCTTCATCACAGTTCTCTCTGTTGATTATAAGATTTATCTGTTATTTTACGTTCTTAATGAAAAAACAGTAAGAATGTATACTTGTTTGGGCAAATTTACAGGATAATATGTAATTCAAAATAAAAATAAAAAACATGACTGTCATCCAGCACCAAAGATTATGGAAACATTTACTCATGATTGTGTGTGTGTGTGTGTGTGTGTGTGTGTGTGTGTGTGTGTGTGTGTGTGTGTGTGTGTGTGTGTGTGTGTGTGTGTGTGTGTGTGTGTGTGTGTGTGTGTGTGTGTGTGTGTGCGGGTGTGGGTGTGTGTGGGTGTGGGTGTGTGTGTGTGTGTGTGTGTGTGTGTGTGTGTGTGGGTGTGTGTGTGTGTGTGTGTGTGTGTGTGTGTGTGTGTGTGTGTGTGTGGGTGTGTGTGTGTGTGTGTGTGTGTGTGTGTGTGTGTGTGGGTGTGTGTGTGTGTGTGTGTGTGTGTGTGTGTGTGTGTGTGTGTGTGTGGGTGTGGGTGTGGGTGTGGGTGTGGGTGTGTGTGTGTGTGTGGGTGTGTTTGAACTGAAGGACCACCTCGATGAGGACATCTGCTGAGCTAATAAACAATAATCTTGACAAATTGTCACTGCCTGATCACTCTATCCAGCCTCACAGTCACATCACTGGGGGAAGCCATTACTGAGCAGGCCAAGGACATGACTGACAGCTCAATGGGCTGGTGGAGGGCGGGACTGGACCGAGGCCCAGCTGCCTCACAGGAGAGCAGTAACTCATGGGCAGAGGACAATCCAAGCATATTGGTTGGGGAAACACATCCATGTCCCTTTTTGGTTAGCGCACAAGCTCACTTTATGAACAAAACTCTGCATCTAGAATGGTCTTACACTTTAAAAAAACAACTTAGCATTAAGTTAGAGCAAAGATCCTTGAGCTCATAATGTTAATGATTTACTGCTGGCAGAGTGATAGTTGGATGCTACAGTGTAAAACCTTCAGATTAAACTAATCAGGTGACCAGCGGACTTTTCACACTGAATTTACACCAACTTTTTCTTTACAACCAATACAACAGATACAAATGAGGCTAGACTGCAAAATATAAATAAATAAAAAATTCATAATGTAATCACTTCCTCAAGTATTCGCTGATTAGCTCTAAAAAGGTTTTCCAAATTATTTTCCCAGTTTTAAGCAGGTTATAAGTCAGGCCTTATAATGCAAAAAGAAGAAAAAATAGGCACTTTATTGAAAAACTATAAATAAAGTAAGCTGGTTGAAAGTTTAAAACTGTAGATCAAAGTCTCCTAAAAAGAGCTAAAACTGTCAAAATAAGAGAGAGTATCTCCAAAGGATTTCTTTATCAGTAAGAAAGTAAAAGTCAGTCAAATGTATTTAAATATCACAGACATTAGAATCACAAAATGCTTCACAAAAACAGAAGCATAAAAATAAGAATATTAAAACTGACATAAAATATAACAGTCAGCTTAATGTTGGAGGCCATCAGGACTGTCCAGATTAATCTTTACAGTGTCTCATGTCCCAAACAGCCAAGATTGGGAAATGTTTTTGTAAAAAGTTATTTTATTTTATTTTTTTACTGTCTTTTCTTGCAGATGTCGTTTTGGGGTCATTAGGGTGCAAACAGCACCAGTGAGGGTCTTCATGGGAAATGAGAATCTGGTCAGATCCTCCAATTTAGCACAGGGTTTTTTTTCTTGTTGATCTCCCACTGGACCTTTTGGTCCAAACTACTGCAGAAATGTAAAAATGGCCGTTTTACTGCAGCACACTCAGTAGATAAACCCTCAGCAGTGAGCGGACTGTTTGCACAGCAGAACACATATCTGCTAACATATCTGCTCCCCAAACCTTAACCAGCTGAAGATCCCACCTTTAACAATAGCCAGACCTCCATGAGCCAATGAAAATTCAAGCCATACTAGATTTTTGGATATCACACATTTTTCTTGTCAAGGGACAAAATACACATGAATAATAATATAGAGAACAAAACTGGGAAAGAGACAGGAAATATGAGACATGTTCCCTCTCACAGAAAACAACCGAGGAAGAAAACGATCAAGACTCACACTTGGAGTGTTGACAGAGTGGAGAAGAGTAAAGATCATGTGATGAAAAAAGGTAAACCTCAAGAAAAATCAATCCTATAGAAGGGGTTTTAATTCTAAGCCAATAACACACTAAGAGAGGATGAAAAGCCAGACATCTTAAAATTGCCCAGTCAATCACTGCAACCAACCAAGCATTATAAATATGAGAATAACTGCTCCAACAGGAACTGAACACAAGCTTGTCTGATTTAAAAAAAAAAAAGATCCACATAAGAAAGTTCTTGTCTAAAGAACTTTCTTATTAAAAGAAGGCAGCTAAAGAAATTTGAATGTATATCACATCTAGTCCAAGAGGTCTGTGATGTTTATCAGAAGTTCAAACTCTAGATTGCCGTATCATTGGAAAAGAATGCACATAATACATAAAGCCTCTGAGTGTTTTGCCACAGCATCTGTCAGCAGGAGTTTTGAGCAGCATTTAGGTTTACAAAGAAGTGAAGAGCTCTTCTAAAGACTCCATTCACACATCTAATGCAACATGTTGACACTTGACAAACTCACCAATAGGCATGTCTTCATAGATGAGGAGGTAAGTTGAAAAAAAGTAGTTCAGGAAGCGTGGCGGCTGATTGGAGCCTGTGGAGAAGAGAGAAAAAAGTCATTCACAATGATGAATATAATGACAGTATTTGCTGACTTCATTTCTGCTTGAAAATGTGTTTAAAAATCACTGTAGGTTTTAGGACCGGGCCACGGAGAAAAGCAAATCGCTTAGTCTGCTAAATCAAGACAACAATTTCTAAATATTAAATGCATTTTAAAACATTATGGTCTAAAAGCTGCTTGGACCGAGTCTGTTGAGTTCATGTCTACAATATTTTGAGATATTCTGGCCATTGAAATAAAAAACAGAATTCAGATGATAGAAAGTTTAATATGTGAAGATGCAGATGTCCAACTAATCTCAAACATTTATACTCATTTATAGAGAAAACGTGTTGTAATGTAAGGTAACTGAACTGAAGCACAAAGACACTATTTAGCTTAAATCAACCTGTAGAATGAGTCACTTTAGCAACAAACCGACGGTTTATTATTACAGCTTCTCTTTGTTTTCCATATCTAAATGTAATTTTCTCCTGAATAATTGAATCTGTTGTGTAATAATTTTATCATCGTGACATGTTAGTTTACAGCAGCAGAAGAAGACATAACTTCGGCCTCATTTGTAAACAGTGCAAACCTTTTAGTTAAATTGTTGATGAAATTATGAAATATGCACAGAGTGGATCTCCAGTCAGGCAGATTTTCACAAACCAACTTTGTGGTCATTTTTTTACCAGTTCACTATATAAATTGTATATTTTGTTGCCTTGCATGGAATCATTTCTTTACTTTGTCATTTTGTATTTCATCAGATGACAGCATAGTGAGCCCAGACTCAGATTGGACTCCACTGTATGTACTGCTGCTACATATGTTTCATTTGTCACTGTCTTCATCCTCCTGAAAGCAAAGGTACATCTTTAATTTCACCATCTGCAGCTGCTGGGATACAGAATGGATCTGAAACATACTTTTTAAAATGGCTACATTAAATATTTGGCACTTTTTCTGTGACACAATAATGAGCAAATGGGCATAATAATCAACAGAAGCTGGAAAAATATTAGGCTGAAGCAGAGCTCTTCTCCACAATTAATTCCCTCATGGCCTGCAGTGACAACGATGATTACATCCCTGTTGTCATCACTGAGTGCAACGCGCCACGATTCACCTGAGTTTCACTGCAGACATTTTTACCTGTGTACCACTTGGCTGGCATCAGTGTGTGCAGAATTACTGCCGAGGGACAGAGAGCTTTATGCTGGGGTTACTTTTAGTCAAAACAGCTACAAGTGTTTTCAAAATTATAACCAGGTTATAATAAGAGAAATTTGCAGTGCATACACAACACTGGTCACATGATTCCTGTGTAAAATAGACCCTTCTTAAAATATCAGCTGTTTCAGGAATTGTTGAAAATCTGTTCTGAAAATATATCAGTGAAAAGATGTAATAAAAAACCCTGTATTCAAAGACCGCATGTTGTTGTTGTTTTAAATCTTTTCTGGTTTTATTCTTCCATTAACTTTATTCTGAGTGACGTCTTTTCTGATCTGAAAACAAGGTTTTATTCTAGCTCTAGACTCTTTGAATGGCTGTTTTTGGGTTAATTGTATTTGGGCAGCTCGCTGTGGTGTCAGGAGGTGGAATGATTTGCACAGGTTATTTTAAAAGATCAGTGAACAAATGGTCTTTGATCAACTGAGTTGTCTGGTCGGCAGCCGACACTCGGACGCTGATGAGGGACGGACCAAAACTGTTTGAAGTGAGAATGCTTGAGTGACTGAGTCTTTGCTTTCAAAGCAGGAGGTTTTCCTGCTGTCATGTGTCCTTACCAGCGGAATAAGATTCTCATCTCTGGCTTGTCGGTGTGACATGGAGTGTACTTTATTGGCGACAAAGACGGGTTAATGGGCTCATGTCTGTACCTGTGGCTTAATTACGGCGAGTCAGCACCGGTTGAATAGAGAAATGCAGATGGATTACAGCAACAAAATAATCACAACCGTGATCATCAATCCAATTTGCTGGTTCAGAGAGGCAGCGCTTGAAGCTAGCACAAGGTCAGTGTGCCAATGAGCTTGATGAAAGAAACCAGGGGCAAAGGGAGCGACAAGATAGAGAAGAAAGGTGTGGTAACACATTGAAGGGGGAATGTTATGTGAAATCAAGTTTTTTTAGTTTTTTGATTTTACTTTGTCATCAAAAATATATCAGGAGTTTTGCTTAAATTCTTTCAAACACCAAATGTTCACAAATAAAGGGTCAATGCTGTAAACAAAATAATAAATAAGATTCAAACCATCAGATTTCTAAATAAAGCACATGCACTGAGCTCAGATCCTGTGATCACCGTTGAACTTACGCAGCCTGAATACCTTTCTCTTACATTAAATCTCAAAAAATAAAACTCTAGTCTTTGTGGCTTTGCACAGTCACTGTTTACAGGAAGAAGGACTCACCTTCACAAAATGACTGAAGAACAAGGAAAGGAAGGAGGATCTTGGCAGCCGTCATCCTGCACCCTAAACCCACACACAAACCCCACGACATCACCGACACCTGCAGGAGAAACACAAACAGAAAATGATCAGTTTCATGGTTAGTTTATTTTCTGTAAACCAAGCTGTGCAAAAATAAAGACTGTTAAGTGCTATACTTTTTAAATGGCTGTTTAAAGAGTATATACTCTGAATGCAAAATTAATAAATGTGCAGGAAGGGCATTATTTTAAAACACAGTTCTGTAATAATCTATAATTAGATTATTACTACACAAGATTATTTCTTTAAAAAATTCATGATAAAAATGACAAATGTCTGCTGATCTGTCAAGTATGTTATGTTTACTTCAGAGTAAACTGACAGCAGAGTTAACAGTAACACATCCAGCAGAAACGCGGTTTTGTGCCATTGTGCTCTTAAAGATGAAAAATATGCAGAAATATGTAAGTTATTCAATTCATACAGAGTAGCTCATATATACAGGTGAGTGAAAACAAAATGAGAGGTAAAGAATGAGTCGCTTGGTGAATGTAGATGTTTCCATGAGGTGTTCACGTGTTTCAGTTTATAAAAGATACATTTGTTTTCATTTGGATTCCTGTTTCCTGTGAATTATTCCATGCAGCCTGCGTGGCGATGTGCAACGCTCCCTTCCTTATTCCACTCTGTTGACTTCTCTGTGACACATTTTAAAACTCCTGACCGCTTCAGGCTAAAAAATATATCCTATAACAAACGAGATACTCTCAAGGTTTCAGATGGACACATGTTTACTCACTTTACATAACTAACAATGGATTCATAATATCTAAAGCTGTTTTTGCACCTGATAGTCCAAGTAGACTCGATTCGACTGGAGACCAAAATTGCAACAATCGTATTTTTAGCTGGGCTTTCATACTTCACCAAGTCACTAATTGAAAAACTTATTCCCACCTTTGCCTTTGGGGGCGCTGCACCAAGAACCACTGAGGGAAATGACATAAGCACCTCTGCAGACACCGAGTTAAACTTCCTCAGTCAGATTTTAGCCTTTGCAGGATTTCTATTTGGTAAAAGACCATGAGCCATTTCTCTCTCTCTCTCTCTCTCTCTCTCTCTCTCTGTCTCACACACACACACACACACACACACACACACACACACACACACACACACACACACACACACACACACACACACACTTCCTTAACTTGTCACCATTCCTTTCTCTAATGCTGAGGGACATTTTGGAGATGATGGCTTCGTCATTATGAATGATGATTACAGGCTGCGACAGACAGACCAGCTGGGTGTGAGGAAAACTTGGATGGTCTTTTGAATTCAAACACTTTGCCCCATAACTCTAAAACAAGTTCACACACGCACACACACACACACACACGCACACACACACACACACACACACACACACACACACACACACACACACACACACACACACACGACAAACTGAATTCAGACTTGCATTTAAATAAAACATTGGTTGTTGCAGAGGAAACCCTGGCAGCTCGTTCTGAATCTTGGTTGTGTATCCAGTGTTTTAGTGAATAAGTGCTGAGTTCTTCCTTTCACTGTTGGTGTGACTCGCTTAACCTGAAACACAAACTGAGACCGCAGGCCATTGTCAGCCTGTGCAGTAAAACTGCAGAAACAACACTGAGCAACCTTTCATCTTCAGACAGCTGAGACCTTGAAGAAGTCAGTTAAGTCTGATCCAAGGCGCGCTGCGTTCATGGCTTCGATCCAGCAGTCTGACAAAATGCAGAGCAAACAGACTAAAGAGCTCATCTGCTGCCGTGGCAAAGAGTCTTCTAATTCACTGGATTTGACTGCTGTGATTGTAAGTCTTTTCTTCTATAATTGATCCTTGAAGACAAGGTGATGATGCCAATTTACCTGCCTTGTCTGAATATGTACTAAGGTTCATCATTTATCCTGCGCAGCAGATCATTTGCTCCAAACTAAGAAAACTAGTCTTGAAGGTGACAAAATGTGGAAAACAGGATCCAATTTTATTGTAACTTAAAAGTTATAGTAATAATATATTCTGTAAAGTTTCCTTGTTTATCTAGATCTTAATTATTTCCCACATGTGTAATAAATAATATAACTGACTATGGGAAGTTACTTTTACCTTTGAGTCTAAATGAGATAAGATGCTGTCAGTGAATATCAGCACAGAGTTTGAAGCCGACCATCCAGTTGAACCTTTATTGTAACAGCAGGATTTGGATCACAGAAAAGCCTCAGTTAAAACCAACATGAATCTGGACAATTTAATATGATATTCAGTATTTCCTGAACAACTTTCTATCAGAAACCTTAAGCTCAATTAATAATGAGTAGAAAAACTCCATATTTGTCCACAATAAAAAGGTTTTGATTGTTTTGCCCTTTTCTTTTATCCTTTACAAATTGGGCCTTTAACTGGACAAAAGTCATAAATTTGCAACAAGAACAGCTGGACTTTATTCCAGGTTCATCAAGTTTACTATAATTTATAGAAACTAAATGCTTCAACTGAAGTCACATTAAAGGTGGAAAATCTTTTGAGATATCAAAATATTCACTCTCCTTATAAAAGTCAACCACTTTTAAAGCAATTAAAGTTTATTTAGGCTTTAAATTCTTAATAAACAAGTTGTTTATCTCTGAAATGCCAATTTAAATTAAAGTTTCTTAAATGTCACCTCTTAATATTTGGAGCAAAACAAATCGGAATCCATCTTTATTTTGTTATTCTGCGTTTCTGGAACAATATGTTCTAACTATAACGAGGCAAATGTTGCATTCGTCTTTAACACCACTTCCTGCTGCTCCTCTGTTCAACATATTATGTATTCCACTATTGTTAAGTTATGGTAGCACTTGAAATATTATAACAGAAAATGGCATGTTAATTAGTTTCATTTTATGGCCTTATATAGCAGACCCAGGCTATTGTCTGATAAAGTAATGTGTTTTATGGTGAATACAGTAAGCGTTGCTCCAATCACTCCACTCACAATGTGGTGTGGAGAGAAGCGGTGGGGAGGGTGGCAATCAAAGGGCCTTTTGCTTTCCGAGCATGAGGCCCAGTGTTCGCTTCCACACTCAAAAATTAAAACCAATTCATCAATAACTGACTGTGGGTGCCATCGTTCATGCAAAGGCCTGATTATTTCATGGAAAAACTGAACTCCCTCATGCAGAGCTTCCAAAGGTTTTCTAATGGTCAAAGAAATAAAAAGGAAAGTCTTTCAGGTCTCAGTATTCAGTCCAACTAAATGATTTAAAGTCTAAAATCCAGACTAATCCAGCGGAGGTGATCAGAATGAAAAAGCCATTAATTGGATCATGGAGTCGCAGTGGAGAGCATAAAGCTTAGCTGATGGTCAGCATCTGCAGCTCTGCTTCACTCCACTGCCTGCAATGTCACCATCTATCAAACCTTTACTACCCTTTGCCCCAACTCAGACATGAACTCATGTTCTCTCAAACATCCTCCATCACACCTGCCTAACCTCAGAGCTTTGTTTTAGGTTTTTTCTTTTTTTTACACCTTGACATGATCTACTTTACTGTGGCTTTTATTAAAATCATAAACAAATGCATTGAAATTTGGCCTTAAAGATAACTGGTGCATTTCAGAAACCTTTCTTCCTAAAATGATGGTGCTTTGCAAACAGATATGCAATACAGCAGGCAAAAAACATGACAAAACCACCAGGTTTTGGTAACTGATGGAAGGAAGTCAAATTTCTGTCTACCAATATTTGTTGTCTAGCTTGTCTAACCAGCTAATTACCTCTAAACACCTACAAAGATTTTCTGAGTCTCTAAGTGATCCATCAGTCTGGGTCAGGAGGTTTCAAAGTCTTCTAGAATAATTAGAAGACTTTGAAATGCAATAAAATTTTGCATTTTATTGGAATTAATGTTCCAGAGTCTGGACGAAGAAATTCGCATCCAGTGTGAAGCTTTTAGTCGTGATGATCTGGGTCAGCATGTCATCCAGTGACCAAGTGACCATGGTGGTTCTGGTCCAACTGACCAGCAAACTGGCCTGACCTGAATCCCTGGAGGATTGGCTGTACCGAGACATCAAGATTATAGAAAAAAGGCACATATATCTAATATATAAATATATGTTTCACTTTTTGAAATGAGTTGCATAAAGACGTTTTCTTTATGCAAAGAAAGAAAACGTAAATATAATAAATAAGCATATTTATTATATTTATAAATATAAATAAATATATTTATTTTTTAGATGTATGTGTATCAAAATGTGACTTATTGTCTTGCAGCCAGTATGTGATCCAGCAGGGTAACGTCTGCACCCAACATGTGCCTCCAAAAACGGCCACATGCCTGAATCCTGCTGGCTTACAGAACTCAATATTATTGATTACAAGGCAATTGTGTCTGACTTGGCTCAACCTCGTAGGAACCCCTCTCACAGGAAGCATGCCGGGCCTCAGCCTGAAGCCAGATCTGGATTATCACAGCAAATCAATGAGAAGTCTGTCCACTCTCAGCGCTCATCAAAAAGACATCACTCATTAACACCCTGATCAAACACAGAGCGGCAGACACTTTGGCTTTGTCAAGAAAGATGGGATGATGGCAATGCTCTGTTGAGCTGAGAATATCCCAACCCTCCAGTCTCTCCATCTACATGACACAATTCTACAAAAGTCTTATTCAGCAAACCTGATTCCTGCAACAGGAGCCGAGTCACCAGGCATGCCCTGAGCACAAAACGTTATTATCCACTTTGGAAATACATTCTTACAAGAGAAAACAAACAGAACATAAACGTCAAAAATGATGTTGCCCAGACATTACAGCACATTTGTGTGATGTGAAATGTCTTATCAGGACCAGTTGATAGTATGAAAACGTAACTGTTAGGACAATTTAGAGACCAAATAGTCTGTCAACTCTTGGATGGATGGATGGATGGATGGATGGATGGATGGATGGATGGATGGATGGATGGATGGATGGATGGATGGATGGATGGATGGATGGATGGATGGATGGATGGATGGATGGTTGTGTCTTTTAAAA